GGCTGAGGCAGAAGAATTGCCTGAACCCAGGAAGCAGAGGTTGCGGTGAGCCGAGATCGTGCCATTGCACTCCAGCCTGGGTAACAAGAGCAAAACTCTGTCTCAAAAAAAAAAAAAAAAAGATGTCTATGTTGGCCTCTCATGATGCAGAAAATGTCTTCTAAGTTTTCTGTATGTTTTCAGCCCAAAGTCTGGTCCTGTCTTGTGAATACTAAGCAGTAGTCAGTTTTTAAGTGCAGATTCTAGGTGAGATCAATATGCCTCAGCATTCTTGGGAGTTACAGCAAGCACCATAAAACCACAGGAGAGATCCTCTCATGGAGCCTCCTTCAACACACTGTAAAGAATATTTTGACCTAAAAGGAAAAACCTGGGGTAAACATAAGTAGAGAGTTTATTTGGGCCAAAGCTTGAAGATGCAATGCTGGAGTATAAGCTGCCCTCAATATACACTCCAATTAGAAGCAGTTATGAGTATAATTTTAACGGTAAAAAGGAAAGCAAGAGGGAACTGCTTAAAAAAAAAGTTGACAGAAATTCTTATTGGTTTACAGAAGTAAGTGGTGATTGGCTATATATATTGATTTTTGTTTTTTGTGTTTTTTTTTAAGACGGAGTTTTGCTCTCGTTACCCAGGCTGGAGTGCAATGGCGCAGTCTCAGCTCACCGCAACCTCCGCCTCCTGTGTTCAGGCAATTCTCCTGCCTCAGCTTTCCTGAGTAGCTAGGATTACAGGCACGGACCACCATGCCCAGCTGATTTTTTGTATTTTTAGTAGAGACGAGATTTCACCATGTTGACCAAGATGGTCTCGATTTCTTGACCTCGTGATCCACTCGCCTCGGCCTCCCAAAGAGCTGGGATTACAGGCTTGAGCCACCGCACCCGGCCTACATTGTTAACCTATAAGGTGTGGGTTATAATGTCCAGTATGACATTATCAGGTTAATTTATAGCCATTTGTGGCAGTAGCAAGCAACGTCAAAAGACAAATCGTTCAAAGAGAAGTACAGTACATGATTGTGGTCTCATTTTAATGTATCACTGGGTCTGATAATTAAAATAACTTGTATTTCTCAGATGAAAGTTCTATTCTTCTCTCAAATCCCAGGACATTCAGAATTTGGAACTGCACATTTAAGACTTGGAGGGGTGGTGAGTTGTGCACATTTGTGGGCATTCAGGCAAAGGGAGGAGAGAGTTGAAGTTCTCAAGTTTAATCAATGCACACATGTGATCCTGGTTGGGTTTATGGGCCCCATGGTCACTGAATCAGTGTCAGATTTGAAGATGCCAGGCACAGTAAAGGAGGAGAAATAACTGATTGCAGTCCTAAAAAGTTATTTTGTAGAAATCTAGTATAACTGCTACAGAAGGGACTATAGCTCTCAAATAGAGAAAACATTCTATTTCCCGATTTGGGGAGTTCTTTGCTGCACTTTGTGCACTTTGCCACAAAATTGTGGGTTGTGAGTGGAATCCTGAGAAAAGTTTTTCTCTAAAGTAAAGCCTGGTAGGCACTTTGTGTACAACATCTGATAATTCTGGACAGTGTGTGGAAAATATAACTAAAAGCAAAATCATCTCCAATCCTAAAACTCTGTCCACAACAATAGAAAAGCAAGAATATGTTTTGTAACATAATTAAACCAAAATGAGATGTGCATCACAGGCAACCTACTAAGAGATTGCAAATACAGAAACTCAGCATAATTAATTCTCAAGTAGACATGAGAGCACCATTTGTCATACAGTTTATTATAATTTCACCTAGTAATTTGGGAGGTCATCTGGGTTTTCTTTTTTTTTTTTAGACAGAGTTTCACTCTTGTTACCCAGGCTGGAGTGCAATGGTGCCATCTCAGCTCACTGCAACCCCCGCCTCTTGGGTTCAGGCAATTCTCCTGCCTCAGCCTCCTGAGTAGCTGGGATTACAGGCATGCGCCACCATGCCCAGCTAAATTTTGTGTATTTTTAGTAGAGACAGGGTTTCACTATGTTGACCAGGATGGTCTCGATCTCTTGACCTCGTGATCCACCCGCCTCCGCCTCCCAAAGTGCTGGGATTACAGGCGTGAGCCACTGTGCCCGGCTCATCTGGGTTTTCTAATTGGTAATATTCATAGAAAAAATAAGCTTCTGGGCCAGGCACATTGGCTTACACCTGTAATCCCAGCATTTTGGGAGGCTGAGGCGGATGGATCATGAGGGCAGGAGTTCAAGACCAGCCCAGTCAATATGGTGAAACCCCATCTCTACTAAAAATACAAAAAATTAGCTGGATGTGGTGGCACACACCTGTAGTCCCAGCTGCTCAGGAGGCTGAGGCAGGAGAATCACTTGAACCGAGGAGGTGGAGGTTATAGTGAGCCGAGACTGCACCACTGTACTCCAGCCTGGGTGACAGAGCAAGGCTCCATCCCAAAAGAAAAGAAAAAAAAAAAAAAAAGAAGGGCTGGGCACGATGGCTCATGCCTGTAATCCCAGCACTCTGGAAAGTCGAGGCGGGCAGATCACAAGGTCAGGAGATCGAGACCATCCTGGCTAACACGGAGAAACTGTCTCTACTAAAAATACAAAAAATTAGCAGGGCATGGTGGCACGTGCCTGTAGTCTAGCTACTCAGGAGGCTGAGGCAGGAGAATCCCATGAACCTGGGAGATGGAGGTTGCAGTGAGCTGAGATCGCAGCCACTGCACTCCAGCCTAAGCAACAGAGTTGGACTCCGTCTCAAAAAAAAAAAAAAAAAAAAAAAAGAAAGAAGAATAAGAAAAAATAACATCTTCATGACGGAAGTAGATTTGCAATGTGGAGCTAGGTACCTGCTGAAGGCACCTCCTAGTCTCCTAAAGAAATTGTGAGATAGGTTGTATGTTCTTACTATTTACATTTCAAAGCAATAGAAGCAATAGTTTCCAGGTCCTAGAAAAGTTTGATTCAAAAAAGACAAATGACCTACTTAACTGATAAAAATGACATGTATATTTTAAAGAAGCAGAAAAAATATATAAATATAATAGTTTTCAAGACAGGCAAGTGGCTCATGCCTGTAATCCCAACACTTTGGGAGGCCAAGATGGACGGATCACTTGAGGTCAGGAGTTTGAGACTGGCCTCACCAACATGGTGAAACCCCATCTCTACTAAAAATACAGAAATTTGCCAAATGTGGTGGCACATGCCTGAAATCCCAGCTACTTGGGAGGCTGAGGCAGGAGAATTGCTTGAACCTGGGAGGGGGAGGTTGAGGTGAGCCAAGATCACATCACTGCACTCCCACCTGGGCGACAGGGAAAGACTTCACCTCAAAAAAAAATAAAATAAAATAAATTAAAAAAAATTTTTTTTTTTCAAACTAACTGCTTTAAGAAAAGGAAGAGCAAAAATTCTTCCCTAATTCTAAAGAGAGACCATTAAGCCTCTTCTTTCTGATTTGTGTTTGCTCCTACAACATTAAGGTCTAAAGGCATGGTCTTCAACTCACTAACATCTGAATTCTTAATTAACTTAGGCACACTGAGCACAGGAAAGAGGATCTGTGAGGAAGAAAAAAACAGGAGAGAGAAAGCTATCAAGAGCCATGGGCGGGGGCAGGGCAGGACTGACTGAAGGACTGGTTTGTGCTGCAAGTGCAGGCCCAGGCAGGGCTACAATCGGACTGATTTCCCGTGTCCACGAAGGCAGAGGAGATTAGGATCAGATGGTCCAGAAGCCTGGGTTGCTGAAGAAAACAGGTTCCTGCTACAGATCCAGTACCTGCGACTAACATGAGCCAGGAGTCTTCTGGGCACTGTGTGTGTTCTTGGCAGAACACTCTAGGAGCAAAGCTGCCATGGGCACAATTCCTCAAGGTCCTGGGAGGACCCTGTCCTGGGAGGAGTGTGGCCGTGCAAATGCCCAATAGGCGTGCTCAGTAGTGGGTTCGTGGGTGGGGGCTGGCAGCAGGGGGCAGGGAAGGGCTGTTTCTCAGAACTCCTTTCCTCTAAGTGCCCAGTCCCCTCTCTCCCCGGGAGGAGACCTGGAGGAACAGGACAGTGCCCAGTGGGACAGCGCATGTGCAGAACCCGGCCGGGTCTCCCGCGGACACCCGGCATCTCCCTCCAGCCCAGACTCAGCCATGTCTTTCTTCTGAGAAAAAACGTTGGGAGTTTGCTCAACACCAGTCAACGCTCCAACCCCAACGGGACGGGACGTCCAGCAACTCACTAACGACACCACCCAGGGTCAGCGCCGACCCCACAAGCTCAGCGCTCTTCCCGCAGCTGCCCCCCGCAGACGCCAGTCCCTGCCTCTGGACACGCGTCTCCAGTTCTGAACGCCTGCCTACAAACCAAGGGCGCCCACACGCTCCTCAGGCTCAATCACGTGGCAGAACTGCTCAGAACTCAGCGCAGCGCTGGGCGCACCTACGCCGGTGGATTCGAAAAGACGCCCCTCAGGAACGCCACGCGGGGGACACGCACAGGGCGAGGGAACCGGCGGGAAAGTCGGGGCGGGCGGGTGATTCGCTTCGCTCCCTCACACACCTCACAAAAGCCTTTCCTTCAAGACCCGCGGGCAGCCCCCAAACCACGAGCCACGGCCGGGGCCGTCCCATCCCCGAGTCCCCGTTTGCTCACAGGAACTCCATGTTTCCACGGAGCCTCCATCTAATTCCGAACGGGGTCCAGTAGCGACGGGACCCCGGACCACAGCGCCTCCCACGCAGGCACCGCGCACGCCGCGCCGGCGTCTTCCCGATCGGCTCCTCCTCACCTCACAGCCCGGGGACGCTGCGGGTGCGGGCGCAGAGCTGCACAGGAAGGGCCGCAGGCCGGGCCAGAGCCGCCGTGCGGGGGCCGACGGGAGCCCGGGTCCCCCACCGGAGGGGACTGAGGACCGACGGCCGAGCGGCGGCGGCGGGGACTCGGCTCACACACTCGGTCCCGCCGCCGCCGCCATTTCCCGCCGGTTCCGAGGAGGCCTCCCCGGCCTCGGGACGCCCTGCCCCGCACACTCACCATTTCTGGGCTTCAGGGTGTCGCGGAGTCTCAGCTGCGAATCATGCGATGCCCGCAGCTCACAGAGCGACGGAGGCCGAGGCTGTGGCAGAGTCACCCGGGCCTCCCTGACGGGGTGGAAGCAGGGCGGCGAGGCCCTAACCCAGCTGGGGCTGGAGCAAAAGCCGCGCCAGATTCCGGATCCCGCCCTCTCTCCTCCGGCTGCGCGCCTGATTGGGCAGTTCTCAGTCCAGCGCCCTGACTGGGTGTGGCTCCAAGCTCCACGCCCTCAGGCTTTGAGTGACAGAAATAGCGACCATACCGTGCATTGAATGAGGCAAGAGTGACAGACTCGTTCCTGCGGGCACTTTCGGCCAGGGCTTTCGGTGCTAAGCCTGGCTCTGTTGGGGGTTCATTTTTAACCCTCAGACGTGTTAAGGTTACACGCATTTATAAATTGTGAACGCACGCGCGTGCGCACACACCGACACACTCTTGTTCACAAATGGAAACAATATAATGACAACTATTTTAATATTTTACATTTCATAACCTTTCTGACCTCTGGTCTTTTGAGTAGGACACCTGAGATTTGAAGAGGGAAGCAATCCTCTAAAAAATAAAATGTTAGGGCCATGCCCGGTGGCTCACCCCTGTAATCCCGGCACTTTGGGAGGCCAAGGTGGGTGGATCACGAGGTCAGGAGATCAAGACCATCCTGTCCAACATGGTAAAACCCCGTCTCTACTAAAAATACCAAAAAAAAATTAGCTGGCCTAGGTGGCACTCACTTGTAGTTCCAGCTACTCAGGAGACTGAGGCAGGGGAATTGCTTGAACCTGGGAGGTGGTGGTTGCAGTGAGCCAAGATAGTGCCACTGTACTCCAGCCTGGGAGACAGAGGGAGACTCCGTCTCAAAAAAAAAAAAAAAAATTTTTTTTTTTTAAATGTTAGCTACCGGGCGCGGTGGCTCACGCCTATAATCCCAGCACTTTGGGAGGCCGAGGCGGGTGGATCACGAGGTCAAGAGATCGAGACCATCCTGGTCAACATGGTGAAACCCCGTCTCTATTAAAAATACAAAAAAATTAGCTGGACGTGGTGGCGCGTGCCTGCAATCCCAGCTACTCGGAAGACTGAGGCAGGAGAATTGCCTGAACCCAGGAGGCGGAGGTTGCAGTGAGCCCATATCGCGCCATTGCACTCCAGCCTGGGTAACAAGAGCGAATCTCCGTCTCAAAAAAAAAAAAAAAAAAAAAAAAAAAGTTAGCTATATGTGAATTTACAATTTTTTATTAGCCACATAAAACCTAATAATAAATAACAAGAAACAAGCGAAATTGTTTCTGATCATTTTAACTGATTGGATCCAAAATACTATTCTTTTAATACGTGATCAACATATAACTAGAAATAAAGTGTATTTCTGATTTAATTCTTCTAAACTCACTGTGCATTTTTTGTTCACAGCACGTTTTACTTCAAACCAGCCATATTCCAGGTACCCAGTAGCTTCATTGACTGTAGCCCTGAGGGCTTTGACCTCAGGGAAGGGAGGGCCTGAACACCTCTTTTCCGCTACAAGTGAGGGAACAGCCTCTCTCTACCAACTTCCCCTCAGGCTGAAGGGTGAGTGGGATAGTGACCCTAGAGAAAGCAGAAGCTGCAAGCAGATAGTGTCCATGTGAAGATCACAGACTCCCAGTTGCTGTTTGGTGGAGGTGTGGTGGTCTCCTTAGTTCAGCCAGGTCTGGGCTCTCATCCCGAGAAAAATGAGACACATGGACACTGGAGAATGAGTAAAGCAGAGTAGGATTTATTAAGTAAAAGGAAAGCTCTGGGCAGAAAGAGGGCACCTGAAAGCAGGTTGCCAGAAATGGGACTGAGTTCTGGGTCTTTTTTAGTTGTTTTTTGTTCTTTTTGAGACAGAGTCTCACTCTGTCCCCAGGCTGGAGTGCAGTGGCATGATCTCAGCTCACTACAACCTCCACCTTCCAAGTCCAAGCGATTCTCCTGCATCAGCCTCCCAAGTAGCTGGGACTACAGGCGTCTGCCAGTACGCCCAGCTAATTTTTTTGTCTTTTTAGTAGAGATGGGGTTTCACCATGATGGCTAGGATGATCTTGATCTCTTGACCTCATGATTCGCCCACCTTGGCCTCCCAAAGTGCTGGGATTACAGGCATGAGCCACTGTGCCTGGCCTAAGTTCTGAGTTTTTTATGTGGCAAGAACAAGGAAGTCTTCTGTGGGTTCTATCCACATCGGAGGGGAAAATTCTCCACCAAGGTGTTGCATCTGCACATGCCTGGGGTAGACCACAGTGACTCCATCTTGGTTATTACCTATGAGTGCCTAAGTGAATCTTACAGAGGAAGAGATAAAACCACAATGCTAATATCATGTTAATGACCTTACAATGAGTGGGGCGAAGTCAAGGAAATTTAGGTTAACTTATTGTGCCTGTGCCTAAGTTGGGACAGTCCCGTCTGAGCAACATCCTGGCATAAGAGGAAGTTCTTTTTTTTTTTTTGAGACGGAGTTTCGCTCTTGTTACCCAGGCTGGAGTGCAATGGCGCGATCTCGGCTCACCGCAACCTCCGCCTCCTGGGTTCAGGCAATTCTCCTGTCTCAGCCTCCTGAGTAGCTGGGATTACAGGCACGCGCCACCATGCCCAGCTAATTTTTTGTATTTTAGTAGAGACGGGGTTTCACCATGTTGACCTGGATGGTCTCGATCTCTTGACCTCGTGATCCACCCGCCTCGGCCTCCCAAAGTGCTGGGATTACAGGCTTGAGCCACCGCGCCCGGCTAAGAGGGAGTTCTTAACCACATGTAGAAAGTGAAATAAATAAAGGTTCCTCTTCAATTTCTTTTAGCCTATTAAGAATAGCTAGTTGTCTCTTTCTCTAAGTTAATCTCCTCAATGGCCTTTGTTACATCTGCTAGCTCTAACAAAGAAATCAGTGTATTTTGTGTTCTTAGTTCTTACATTTTTAGCCTAGATATCTGCCCTGACATGCCTGGATAAGCCCAGGCAAGCCTTAGATCATAGCTTGTTCCTCTTTCCTTATTTAGAAGTATTTTTGCCTCTCTCAGCATTCCATAAGCACTTCCTTTTCCTTTGTTCTCCTCTGCCCTTACCTCTTTAGGAAAATTTTAAGTTGTTAGCCAATCAGATATAGCCTAGCATGTGAAGTCCAGTTCCAGCCAACGGAATCAGGACACAGCAATAAAGCCAGATGCATTAGACATAAATATGCATGTCCTTTGTTCAGTGCACTCCCATGGCAAGACTGCTGGCAGGCAGTGCCCTTTCTGCAGAAAGTAAAAGAAAGCCTTGCTGAGAAACCTTTTGTCTGAATGCTGATTCTTCCCTGCAACATAGAAGATAAGCACTTATTCCCAACAATTTGATGGCCTGTATGGGAAGCTGGTCCTAGGGGTGGAGAGCTGGGACCCAACAGTGTGAGGAATAAACCTGGATTCTCAGCAACATGGGGGAAACGGAGACTTGCTGTGCAGGTGACCAGGCAGCCTCATGCATGAGCCAAGGTAGGAAACGTCCCAAGAGGACGACAAAGTACTTACTCAGTCAAACTTCTGGAGGATTGAATATGTGTATGCAGGAGTGCGCAAGGGACCTTCAGAAGGGAAAAGGGAGGGAACAGGTCAACCTCCCAGGGCTGGAAAGGCTAGAAGTCCCTAGCTTGAGGGGTTGGGCCTTCCGCTGGTTTCAGGAGATTAAACTGGACCAGTACCCGATATGGGTAAGCTTCTAGTAAAACAAAGACAGGAAGTAAAGCTGACTCTGGTGATCAGATTCCTCCTGACAGCCCTTTAGGGCATATGCTAACCTATCAGAAGGATAATGAAAGGACTAAGCATAAGAAAAAAGCAACAAATGATAAAATATTGCTGTTTTATTTGGATCAAACAACCGATCCTCAAGCCTGCAGTTTTCTGGCCAAAATTTAGGTCAAATAAAGTTGACATTATCTGTCAACTTCTGATAATGTATGTCAATAATAAGAGCCCAGTCTTACAAGAGGAGATAGATTATGATCTCTGTTGGTGGCAGGGGCCGTCCTCCTTTACCCATTAAGGGAGGGAAGGAAACAACCAGAGAGTAGAACAAAGTTGCAGGGGGACCTCACCTGACAAGGGTAAAGTTTTATCCATGCACAACTGTCATATAACCCTCACGTCTACCTGCACTTCTGTTCCCAGAAGGAAGGCCGTGAATGTGAGTTGTCCAGATCCTTGATATTCTGAACAAAGAATTGAACAAAGCAATGAAACACATGAAGGAAGCAGCAAAAACGGGGGTTTACTAAAGCGAGAAAGCACTCCACAGGGTGGGTGTGGGCCCCAGCAAGCAGCTCAAGGATCCGGTTACACAGTTTTCTGGGTTTTAAATACTCCTTTAGAGGTTCCCATCAGCTACCCCCCCTTATCTGGATGAAGGATTTGGACCATGGCTAATTAAGGTCTGAGGTGAATTGGTACCCTATGCAGATGAGGCATTGTCTGTGCTTGGCCCACAGCCACTCCAAGGCACTCTCCTTTTCTATCAGAGAACTGGCAGAAGGGGAAGTGTTTAGGGACAGTAGTCTTTGATCCTTTGCTAGTCAGGTATGGGAAGATGAGGGTTTTCCTTTTGGTTTAGATATAGGAAGTTCATATTAATTGGCCGTAGGTTCCCTGCTCCCAGACCTTGGTGTTTTTTTCTTTTAGGAAGTCAACACAAATTGGCCTTAAGTTCCCTGTCTCCAGAGCTTATTCTCCTGCCTGACTTCTATATAAGTCAAAACAATCTTAAAACAAATATAATTTTAAATAAAGGAAAAAGAAAATCAATACTTTAGGGTACCAAGCATTTGCAGGTTATTTGTAATCAATCTGTCTTAGCATCCTGGAATCCTGTCTTTAATGGATGTGTATATTAGCAAGCTATAACTCCGTAACAAACAGCTCCGTAACATACTAGTTCAGGACTGAGCTGCTTAGAAATCTAGCTGGCCCATTCTTCTGGGTTCAGTATGGCTCCTTCCCATGTAAGTGGTCAGCTGCTGGTGAATTAGGGGATCTGCTTCTGCAGGTCAGCTGTCCGTAAATTGAGACACTTTGGCTTTTCTCAGCATGCTATTTTATCCTCCAGAAAGCTAAAAGGGGCTTGTTTTCATGGATGTGGA